CACACACACACACACACACACACACACACACACACGATGCTCTTTGGGGTCAGCTTTACACAAGTCCGCTTTTCATAGCTTTTGTCTTTGCGTAGATGGTGACAGGCAGAGATTCACGGCTGCTGCATGAGGGATCGTGCTGAGATCCTGGAAATCTTCTTTCCTCTCTTCTCCTCCATGCCACCTTTATCTCAGTCCAGATCAGGGTTTTTCTGAGAGTTTCCTGCACATTGTATAAAGGGTCAAAGATGAAGACTATCTCTGCTGCTATTACAAATGCAACCTCCTAACTCTTATCTGATCATCAATATAACAACACTGTGGTCTATTGAAGAGCTGGCCACCTGGGACTTGGGGGATGGGTTGGAGGTGTGTCAGCCATACTCCCCAGGGTGTGGCTGAGGTGGGTCCATAAGAGAGTTGCCACTGCCTTGAACACACTTACCCATTAGTTTCACGCTACAAATGCCATCGAGCTCATTCTGACCCACGGTGACGGAGTACAGCCATGCTAACTGTGCTCTATGGTTATAGCTACGATAGATATGCACCCACACACACACACACACACACACAGACACTAGGTGTTTTTAAAAGTGTGCATAAAATTACAATATCTTCTGTGTCATTTTCCCGCTAATGTTTTGATGACCCCTCATATATATAATTTGGGGAGGGGGTGAGAATGTGCACATCAAACATTCATGAATGGCGCGATTTCCACGTGTGCCCTTTCCTGACATTGCTGACATCCTCCAGGGTGTCTGAGCTTCCTCGTTATCTTTTTCCAAACTTATGCAACATCAGCACCCATTCACTGACTGTTCCAAGTGGCATTTTCTTTTTTTAAAGCATGTTAAAGAGGTCTTTCCGGTTTACCCAATGCAGCACATCCTTTGATTTCCTCATGGCTGCTTCCAAAAGTATTGGTCCTGAACCCAAGCAAAAGAACTCCTTGATGTTGACAACCTTTCTCCGTGTCGCCTCATAGCTCTCAGGGGTCCGCTTGTGAGCATGCTTGCTTTCTTGGTGTTGGAGCCAGCCATGCTGAAGGCTGTCGCCTCTAATCTTCCTTCAAGGCCTTGTTCAGAAGGCAGAGTTGTGGCATCTGCTCAGGGTAGCCTGTCAGTGAGTCTTCCTCGATCCTGACCTCACCGTCTTCTCTTCATAATCCAAATTCTTGGATTATTTGCTCAGCATATTGAGTAAGTAAGGTAAAAAGATACAGCCCTGGTGTGCACACACACCTTTCCTGATTCTAAAACATGCGGTGCCCTCTTGTTCTGTTTGATAGGATCACAATCAAGTGCTCTGAACGCTATTCTTCAAGTGTTAGCAGTTATTTGTTGTGATCCACACAGGCAATGTCTTTGCATAAGCAAGAAAACCCATCATGCTGGTGTTCTCTGCTTTCCAGCCGGGGTCTATTTGATATACGCAATGCTATCAGTCCCTCATGCCTGTCCCACGTCGTTTTCTAAATCTGGTTTGAAAATTGGACAGTTCGGTGTCAATGTAGTGCTCTAACCATTTTAAACTTAGTTTACTTGAGTGTGATATTAATGATATAGTTCAATACAGTCTTGGAAACCCACAGAGGGAGTGCTAGTCTATCCTATTGGGTTGCTATGAGTCAGAATCAACTCAATGGCTGTTACGTTTGGGTTTTTTGGTTTTCTTTGGAAGGGCACAAATATGGATCTCTTCCAATCAGTTGGCCAGGAATATGTCTTCAAATATTTTGGCGTAGAGGAGTAAGTACTTTCAGCATTGCATCTGTTTGATGAAACATCTCAATGGGCATTCTGACACTTTCTACATCTGTATTTTTCATCAGTGCCCTCAATGCAGCTTGCATTTTCCCTACAATATCATCGTTTCTAGATCATATACTATTTCCTGAAATTATTGAAACCATTATTTTTGGTACCATGGCTGTGTGGCTGTGTATTCTTTCCACATTCTTTTCGTGAATCCTGCATCATGTTTTGTTTTGTTTTTTGCTCACTGAATCTTTTATGATATACTCTTGGCTTGAATTTTTTCTTCAGGTTTTTTTTTTTTGAAGATTGAGGAATGCCAAGATTGATTTCCCCTCTTGATTATCTAGCTCCAAGTATGTGTTAGTCTGGGTAAAGACTAGAGAAACAAATCCATAGAACTCGTGTATATAGGAAAGAGCTTTATATACATGAGCAATTGAATATTGGGAAAACATCGGAGCCCAGCCCAGATCAAGTCCACAAGTCTGATATTAGCCCAATGTCCAATACCAATCTATAAAGTCCTCTTCGAACTCACAAAAAACATGCAATGATGCTAGATGCAGGAAGATCACAGGCCAGTGGGTGGGAAGACTTGTGGATCCAGTGGCGTTGTAAGCATCGTAGTGCATCTCCATGTGGCTTCTCCGGCTCTCAGGGCTCTGGGGTTCCATGTGTCTTGTCAGCTAGGATGTCTGCCAGAAACTAAGCAGTGAAAGAGAGTGTCTCCTGCCGCCAAGGAGGAAAAAACAGGAATTCCTAAAATCCTTGGGAGGAGGCTGTGCCCACACAGACCCCTATACTCTTAATCCTCAATTGACACCAGATTACATAGCTGCCGATTATGTAACTGCCACAAAGTACTTGCTCATTTCATTATAATACTTCACTTCGTCCTCTTCTTCCTTTATTCCACTTTAGTTACTCTGCATTAAAGAGCAAGTTTCAGAGTCTCTTTTAACATCCACTCTTTTCTTTATGTTCTGTATCTTTGCTTTCTTCATCTTTGATGATTTGTTTTTAAATTATTTTATTGGGAGCTCTTACAACTCTTATCACAAATCATATATCTATCCATGTGTCAAGCACATTTGTACATTTGTTGCCCTCATCATTCTCAAAACATTTGCTTTCTACTTGAGCCCTTGGTATCAGCTCCTCATTTTTCCCCTCCCTTCCTGTACCCCACCCTCATGAACCCTTGATAATTTATAAATTATTATTATTTTGTCATATCTTACACTGTCCGACGTCTCCCTTCACCCACTTTTCTGTTGTCCATCCCCCAGGGAGGAGGTTATATGTAGATCCTTGTAATCAGTTCCCCCTTTCTACCCTACCTTCCCTCTGCCCTCCCAGTATTGACACTCTCACCACTGATCCTGAAGGGATCATCTGTCCTGGATTCCCTGTGTTTCCAGTTCCTATCTGTACCAGTGTACATCCTCTGGTCTAGCTGCGTTTGTAAGGTAGAATTGGAATCATGATAGTGGAGGGTGGGGGGAGGAAGCATGTTTCATCGTTGCTATACTGCACCCAACTGGATCGTCTCCTCCCTGCGACCCTTCCATAAGGGGATGTCCAGTTGCCTACAGTTGGGGTTTGAGTCCCCAATCTGCACTCCCCTCATTCACAATGATTTGATTTTGTGTTCTTTGATGTCTGATACCTGATCCCTTCGACACCTCGTGACCGCACAGGCTGGTGTGCTTCTTCCATCTTTGATGTTCTTGATGTCATTCCACAACTCCTGTGTGTTCAGTCATTAGTGTTCAGTGGGTCCAGTTTGTTCTTGAGCTAGTGGCTCTATTCAGGTGATATATACTTTCTTCAGCTTCAACATGAACTTACATATAAGCAACTGTTCTGCAGTCAGCTCCATGCTTGTTCTGAGCACTGATAATAAACTCCTCCATCACCTTTTTCTACAGGTGTAACCAATGTGATTCCTGTGTATTCTTACCTGGTGATGTCAGCATATATAGCCATGATTTATGCTGTTGATAAAAAGGTATTTCCAATGATTAAGCCGTTGGTCTTACAAAGTTCTATCATGTGATCTCTGCTGTTATTTCTCTCACCAAGGCCATATTCTCCAACCACTGATTCTTCTTTTCCAGCGTCCCAATTCCAGTCACCAGTATCCAATGCATCTTCACTGCAGGTTGATCAATAACTCAGTAAACAGCCTCAGTGTCCTAATCATTGGCCTTAATGGTCAGTGCTTAAATTCCAACAATAGTCATATTAACTGGTTTTCTTTGTACGAATATGGATATTACACCATCTCAGACAGCACTGTACTTCAGGATAGATCTTGGAATGTTCCTTTTGACAATGCATGCAACACCATTTCTTTTCCATTTATCTTTCTTGTCAGGGTAAACCATATGATTGTTTGATTCAAAATGGCCACTACCAAGTCATTTAAGCTTACTAGTACCTAGAATTTCCGTTTTTGTGGTTTCATTTTTTTCATGACTTCTGATTTTCCTGTCTTGTATACTCTGCATTCTGATTGTTAGCAGATGTCTGCAGCTGTTTCCTCCCATGGTGACTACCTGAAGTTCTTATATTCTAGCACCATATCAGATAAAGTTACGCTGCTAGTGATAAGGTTTTCGTTAGCCAGTTTAGCTCAGCTGTAATCAGCCCACCCCGGGTAGCCCTGCTGGCATTTGAAAGGCTGGTGGTGCCATAGCTTTCAGAATTACAGAAAATGTTTGAGCCACCACAGTACAAAAACTGACGGACAAGTGGTGGTAACATGGAAGTAAACCAACAAAAATACGTTTTTCACTGCTGTACTTCTCACAATTTAAAAAGGTTTACTTAAACTTTCCCATTGTATCTTCCAGGGGGAGAAAGGAAGCTTTAGCAATAGCTCGTCATTCAGCCACAACAAACTTTATTTGTAGACAATAACAATGAGAACGTTTGGTTCCCAAGTAGAGACTTTCTCTCCTGACATTCATCAAACCTTTTCTTCATTACTAACTCAAAGCTAAACTAAACTCATTGCCATCGAGTCCAAGCAGCCCTGGCAGTGTTGGGTGCTAACCAAACAGCAGCCGTTCTAAACCACAAGCAGACCCTCAGCAGAAAGACGACGTGGTCTACTTCTGTAGAGAGTTACAGTATTAGAACCCACAGGGGAACTTCTCCCGTATCCTACAGGATCACTCTGAGTCTTCATGATGGAGGTTACCAATTGGAATCCTACTACAAATGGATTTAACTTATTCTGCAGAGAGTTTCAAATTTTGTGGATTGTCCACTATCCTCTTTTGTGAAAATCTTATTTGAGATACACCTTCTGAAGTAGAATTTTTTTTAGGAAAATTGGAAGTTCTGGTCATCCTGAGCTTCTCTTCCACGTAGCAGTGGTGGGCCAAGAGTTCTGCCAGCAACCTCTCCAGCTCACGGCCCACCTCTCTCCTCACTGGGGCAGTGTTGGGTGCCGGTGCCTACAGGCATTTGAGCTTACAAACCCTCATTTGTTGTCGTTAGCTGCTGTAGAATTGGGCCCTCGTTCATGGACACAGTGCATGTACAAGAAGACTGGCTTATACTGATGCATAGCCTTTTCATTTGTTGATTTTGGAAAGTAGATGGTCAGACCTGTCTTCTTTGTCCATCTTCGTCGGGAAGTTATTCTGAAACCTGTTCAGCGTCACAGCAATTCACAAGTCTCTACGACATACAGGTGCCATCAGTGTTGAGAACCAAAAACCCAAACTTAGTGTCACCAAGTTGATTCTGAATCATAGTCACCCTACAGGACCACGTCAGTCACCCCATCGGGTTTCCAAAGCGGTGATCTTATGGAAGCAGACTGCCACATCTTCCCACAGTGTGTCAAGGGGCTGCAACCTGCTAACCTTTCGGTTCTCAGCCAAATACTTTAACCACAGCACCACCAGGGAAATGCCTACACATATTAATATTATTGAGTTCTAAATCAAATGACAAAACCTCTCACATGGAATTCTTGGACATAGTGTATAAATTCTCATTTTACAAATATCTGGTTCAATTGAAAAGTTCCACGCTCTCTTCTAACCTTATTGCTACAATTAAATGGGCTAAAGTGAACGTTTATTCACAAGTTGTTCACTTAGAGTTTTGGCATCTCAACAAGGAAGACTGATGGTACAGGGTTAAGCATGAGTCTCAGGACTATTATTTTTGGAGTTGTGGGGGATACAAAATGGAGCCCGGGTGGCTATGTATTGGGCGGTTATGTATTGGGCTGGTAACCTCGAGGTTAGAAGTTCAAACCCTCCAGCCACCCTGAGATAGAAAGAGGAGATTTTCTGCTCCCTTCGAGAGTTAGAGTCATAGAAATCCACAAGGGCCGTTTTGCCCTGTCCTATCGAGTATCCGTGAGTCAGAATGTACTTGATGTCAGGGAGTTTGGGATTTGGTTTCGGGAAGACAGAATATTTACAGTGGAATGTACTTTTCACCTTCCTGGGGACAGGAAGGGCAACAGGAAGTCAGGTTCCATTTGCACTCCATTGCTAAATTGTTTGCATTTGATCTGGGTAAGGTGTTTGTGTGCGTGTGTGTGTGTGTGTGTGTGTGTGTGAGAGAGAGAGAGAGAGAGAGTTCTCTAGGATCTTTCAGATCAAGCCAGAAAAGACTTAATCATTATCGTCAGAACGTATCCTCGTTGTGGCATGGCCATGTCTACAGTCAGCCAGCATTACAGCAGCATTTAGGATCTAGAGACACTCTGCCTTTGGAAGTACTTATAATCCTCCTGTGCCTTTTTCTCCCCCTGCACCCCCAGTATAATAAAGTGTACAAGAATCTAAAGGAGTTTTCTCAGAATGAAGAGAATTTCTGCAAGCAGGTCACATCCGTTCTCCAGCAAAGGTACAAAATGCACATTTACAATAAACAATGTTTTGTCTAGTTGCACCAAGCAATGTGACTAGAAGAGCGATTACAGGCTGTCCTCCTGCCCAGGACGTGGTGTTATATTGAGAGGTTGGTGGAAGAACGATTCTCCTCTATTGCACAGTTATCGCTCAACTATTGGAAAAATTAAGGTATAACAGGAGGCAATCCTACTGGGGCAGACTCTGTCAGTGCTCTTCATCCCTTGCTGGCAAGCCATCCACTGTGCCCAAGGTCAATGCTCTTATTGGCATTCACACCCCAGTGGCCACTGTTAGCTGACATTTCGGTTTCTCCCAATGTCTTTCTGACCTTTGTGCCCTGAGCTTCGGAGCACGGCCCTTTGGACTTCTGCAGGTAATGGCTCATGGTCGAATGGATGGATGAGTCACCCACACTGAGTATCATGTTTTCCCCACACATCTTTTCCGAATCAAGTGTAAAGCAATTTCTCAACTCAGTCAAGAAAGTTACAGAAGTCTCAGCTTAAAACTAGAAAGCACTAGTATCGCATAGGTGGAAAGGGGTCTTTCCGGCCATTTTACTATCTCTACGTAGCCAGTTCTGTAACCAGTTGCTCTGCTGAGATATTCAGAAGAGATTGTTCATTATTTTTTTGGTAACTCAGTCCAAATTTTAAAAGCCTACACATGGCCAGAACAACAAAGCCACATATCAATGATATGTGGCATTAGGAGGTCAAGAGCAGAGAAGCACATGAGCTTTATTGAGACCAATAAGAAAAGCCAAGAAAAGATACAGAAGAGACCAAATAGGATTATATAAAGAAAGTAACTCTGTCTCAAAAGGTCAAAAAAAAGAAAGAGACAAAGAAAGAAATGATTTCCTAACAGCCATCTGCTTTGATTCCATGGAAAACAAAGGGAGAGGACCGGTCTGGTAGATTTCTTCTCTCTGACATCTTTTGTAAATTTCAGTCCTATAGGACTTCTTTTTCCATCGCTAAGAAAATGACTGGAAGTAAGAGGAGTAAACTCTTATAACAATTCAACCGTTATCTGGATCAGAAAGTGCCTCCCCCCTACAGTTCAGAGAAAGATGTCTGCCGGCATTAACCATGGAGACCAATAAGATGTGGGTTGCAGGATGCTGGGTTTAGAGTATCTGATGTCACTGTTTCAAATTAATGCCTGGTGTAATGCTGTGAAGATGGACGGCAGGTGATCTAAAAATGCCTGCTGGCAAACAGACTGACTAGTGAACGGAATAAATTTGCTTGAGTCCCTGCTGATAATATGTCCCCTTGTATTTCCCTCGTCCCTTGCTCAGAGCGTGTTACATCTCCATCCAACTCCATTCCTACCTCCTTGGTTTACACGACAGTGTCCTTATTTCTTACCTTTTCCCTTGGTCTGTGAGTGCACATCCTTCCACAGGATCTAGAGTTCTAGGGTGACAAACCAGCACCAGCAAGGGAGAAACATTTAGCTGGAAAAAATATGCCACCTTTCATGATTTTTCCTCCTTACAGGGAAAACTAGAATTTGAAAAATATGAACAGTACCAAAGGGCTGCTATGAGTTGGAATCCACTTGGTGGCAGTGGGTAGGCACTCATCAGTGGGCTATGCATTGGGCTCCCAACAGTAAGGTCAGCAGTTCGAAACCACTAGCCACTCCCTTGGAGAAAGATGAGGCTTTCTACTCCGGTAGAGAGTCACTGTCTTGGAGACCTGCAGAGGCAGTTCTACTGTCCTACAGGGTCATTCACTATGAGTCAGAATCGACTCGATGGCAGTGAATTGAGTCATCGCAAAATTATTTGAAAATCCCTGAGATGAAAACTGCATCATGTACCTACAGAAAACAGCCAGAGAGAAAAACCACTGTCGAGTCTGGCTCATAGGAGTCGAAACGTATAAACAATGGAGGAATGTAATGCTTTGCCTAGCCCAAGGTGGGGAGGGGATGAAGATCTAGATTGTTTACTCAGTCAATGAAATACTAACATTTTTCATCTTTTACAACTGTAAATCTAATCTTGTCTAATCAAACCATTTCCTCTAGACTCAATATGCCTCTTTTAAGCTTTATATTCATCCCTGATAAAGCTTCATCGGCCGAATGGTCCTCACCGTGGAGCCTGGAAAGCTTTCGTCCCGGGTTCAGTTTGGGATGGAGTGGTTCTAACCTGAAGGATCTTTACCTGCACCAAATTGGTATACTGAGAACTGTTTCCTAATGGACACAAAACCAGTAGGTGTGGAACTAGTTTTGGTTTACGGCAGTGCCATGTGTACCAGAGTGGAGCTACACTCCGTGCAATTTTCAGTGCCTGGGTTTTCAGAAGTAGATCACCTGACCTTTCTTCCAAGGTACCCTGGCTGGCCTTGAACTTCCAACCTTTCAGTTAGCTGTCAATTGTGTTGACCATTTGCCTCCAGGGACTCCAAAGGGCACAACTGACAGACTCTCAATCTGACTATGCGCATACTGCATTTTCTTGAGTGTAGTCCTTCCTGCCTGTCAGCTGGCAAAGACAGAAGTCGTCTCCCGTCCAGGACTGAGGGGTGATTTTGCAGTCTCTTCCTCCTCCTACTGTGTTTGACCTGAGTCAACATGATTACCGTCGCTGAATGACGACAGCACAGCTGGGATGACGCTTCCTGTCACCCGCCCCCCCTTTTGGTGAACTCGGGCCGACTTTCCTGCATATTAAAAAGGTGGGAAGGTGGTACCACCAGCTGTCCAAACTGGAGCCTGGGATCACATTTCTCTTAAAAGGGTGGGCTTCTGACCTAGTCAACGCTACTTTTTTCTTTGTACTAGGGAAATATTTGGAAAGCTAGTACCCTTTGAAAGACATTATCCTGTTACTTAGGACTATAAAATAATAGGAAACTTCATAGACCAAGTGAAATGATACTCCTAGAAGATACATGCGAGGCATTTCCAATGAGGGGCATGAGGTAGAACATCGTGAAGGCAAATCAACTGGTCTACACAGTGAAAAATCGACTCAGGGAGCCCACGGCTCCTTTGAATTAGTCCCTGGGTGGCACCAGTGGTTTGTGCTTGACTGCCACTCGAAAGCGGAGTGGTTCCAACCCTCCCAGCAGCATGGCAGAGGCAGACCTGGTGATCTGCTTCTGTGTGCAGATCACAGACGAGGAAATCTATGGAGTTCTGCAATGAATGCCCTGGGTTCCCACGAGTCAGAAACGAGAGCCCGTGGTGATGGATTTGATTTTGGTTGGAATTAGGAGTGCCTGGCATATAAAAGGGGAGCCCTGGTGATGCTGTGGGTTAGGCATTGGGCTGCTAACTTCAAGGTCAGCAGTTCAAATCCACCAGCTGCTCCAGGGCAGAAAATTGAGGCTGTCTGCTACCATAAAGATGTGTATATAGGGTCGGTATGAATCAGAAACAACAAGAAGCCAATTGGTTTGGTTTGGTACTTACAAAAAGGAGCCCTAGTGAGTAGCAGGTTAAACATTGAGTCACTAACAACAAGATTAGTTAGTTCAGACACCTCTGGCACCCCACGAAATAGAGATAATGCTGTCTGCTCCTGTAATGATTTCTAGTCTCAGAAACACTATCAGCCTCCTCTGTCCCATAGAGTTACAGAATCTGAATCAACTCGATGGCAGTGGGTTTCCCTTTGGCACATAAAAGGCATACAGTAAATACATGTCCATTGGATTAATAAGTAACTGAGAACATGGGGTGGGTTTATATTTGTGTTATTACACCTGAAGTATTAGAACAAGGTCTTTCCTATCCTTTGATACCTGCCTTTCCTGACATCTGGTTTAGGAGTCTGTTGACAGGCCGGTCTGCTCAGCAGCGCTCCGAGTCAGCAAGGAGAATACAGGAGACCGCTTTGCCATCAAGCCCGGAGTCAGATAGTGTTTCCTTTCAAAGCTCAGCTGCTCTCTGCCATGTGTTCTAATTGGAGATGATAGAAAAGTGAGGTTGTTATTGAAACACCTTTTTGCCTGGATATTCTGCAATTTATCCTCATGCTTAGCCTCATCTAGCCAATTAGTTGCTTCAGTTCCCTTTCTCCAAGGAAGCAGATTAACTCAGATTTAGCCAGAGTCACAGACGCGCAGCGACTCCCAAAATGCCGAATGCCAAAGCCATCACGCTCTCTGTAATGCAACTGCAGATGAGATCTTCAAAGGCAAAGGCACGGCTCCGGGAAGGAGTTTTAAGTGTTTGCCTCCTTGCATCCTCACAGCTAATGTCTGGACTGTCTTTGGAGGGAAAAGTAATTATTCCTTCTGCAAGAAAACGGAAGTTGAGGTTTTCACATGGCAAGCCCAACCACTCAAGGTATTAAAAACAGAAAAGAAAGAGGGGGGTGTGTGAGGGGGGAGTGTAGTGGACCAACTGCTCCACCGGTGATCCGTTGCAGATACTGTCAACAAAGAACAGAATTGAAATGAGATCTGGGATAGGTTTTCCCTTTTCTGCTGTCCCCGTGGTCCTGGATGATCTGAGCTCTCATAGCTCGCTCTCTCATTCTAATGGGATGACTCCTAAATCTCTCCTTCTAACCAGATTCTTCCTGTCGTGACGGGACCACGGCTTGCCCAGCAAGCTCGATCCCTAGGAGCCATCGTGACTCCTTCATCTGTTCTAGCTCATGCCTGAGTCTTCCTGTGTCTAAACACCTGCTGTCTCCCTAACCTTCTTTTTCCTTCTGAGGTCTGTCTGTGTTTTTTTTCTGGCAAATATCTCTTACACAGTTCTTCCGCCCAAGGCTACTGCATTACAGCTGTGCAGTGTGTACCGCGCCGAGTCCAGGTTACAGAGTACGGCCCTGTCTGAGAGGGGGACTAGAAGTGCAAATCCAATCTACTCTCAGTGATGAATTTTCACGCTGCCTCACAGCTGCAACCATTCAGAGGGTGGCGTTGTTCCTTAGGGGGCTGGAAAGCAGGGACCACAAGAACCACAATCTATTTTCTCACAGGTCTGGAGGCTAATTGTCCAAACCAGGGTCTG